CCCCAAAACCCCAAAACCCCAAAACCCCACGCATATAATTACAATCTAATTGGAATAATATACCTGACTAAATCAAAATAAATTTTGGTAATTATAGCTTCATGATTATTGTATTGCTTAATGATTCTATCACTCATTGCTAGAATGATTAAGAAGTCTCTTGTGGAATTATTCTCTCTAGTTCTGGATCTTTTCCTCTATCTTCCATTCCGAATCGAAATCAACCATTTCATCTTTACTTTTGAGTCTAGAGGACATATTAGTTAAAAATGTGTTGTTTCCATTCTCATCTCTTAAAGTGACATTGTCCATCTTTGAAGCAGCCCTCGGAGAAGGCTACAATGAGAAGTTCTTATACTTCTTATTTCTGTCATCTACTACATTTTTGTATTTCTTATCCTGAATATTCTTTAAACTAATAGTTTTCAGATTCTATGCATTTTATATCATATCTTCAACCATTGAAATTGGTTCATGCTTCTTTTGTCCATTGACTGGCTTTTTTATATCCTTTACTGTACTCTCTGCATGCTTCTTTGAAATATTTAAAGTCAACTTGCTCTTATCCTCCTATCCACTGTTATTCCCACTATTATCTGCAACTATAAGCTCACTCTTATTTTTGAACTACGATCTATCATGACTTTTTCTAATCTCAGCTATGCTCTTCAGCACACTGCTAGCTTCATCTCTCCGTTTAGTTATACTTTCAATGATTAGAGATTGATCTGAGTTCGGATTCATCGATTTACTTAGCTTGTGGAAGTAATTTTTTACATTCTCCATTTCAACTGCATCTTCCTCAAGGATTCTTTGGATATGGTTTAATCTCTTGTAGAAGAGAACATCAAAGGGTCTTTAATCACTCTAGATGCTAATGTGTGTCATCATTTCATTAGAATTCTAGCGAGTTTTAGCATGCACACCTGCATTTATGAGATTCTTTCGACTGTCTATGTGAAGTGGAGCTGTGCCATTTGGTCCTGTAAGAGTTGTCTATGTATTATTAGCACTATCCATCTCTTAAGAAGGCTGACTAGTAATAACCTATAAGGAGCTTTCATTTAAATGATCCTTTAATCTGGGAAGGTATAGAGTATTGCTAACCTTACTATCCTAATTTTAATGATTAATTTACTTGCTGTTTTTGCTTGTAAATGGTGAGAAGCCTTTTATTTTGCCAGTAAGGTTCATTATGTCATTTTATTCTATGACAATTGTAGCTTAACTTAAGCTAGTCAATAACTACTTAAAAGCACTTTTTAATTGCTTTATATTGGCCTTATATTCTAGCTCCTACTCTTTACTCTATGATTCGAGTGTGAACATTTTGGCTTAAAATTTCTTAGATGCCTCAGAACTCTAAGGCTCATTATGCATTTGACTAGCACCTATAGTGCCTGGACCTTAGATTTATAACTTATAAAGATTTTGAGAGACCTTTTTGACTTCTCGATTCAATTTTGAGAATCTGTTCTCAACTTATAAACTGAAACCATCTGTCTTATTTGATTGCCTTCCTAATTTTCTTTCAATGTCTTATATTAAAGTATCAAGCATCCCAGTCAGTTCCTCTCTAAGATCCTATATTTTCTTTTATCCTGCATCTATATCATTTTGCACCTCTTAAATAATGATTTCCTAAGCAAATTATATAATGATGATAAATATCTACCTTGTTATTTGAGACGATATCATCAAATTTAATTGCCTACTCTTGTAACTGGTCATATATCTTGTTCTGTAGATCCATCACTTCATCTTCATTTTTCTTAACAGATTAATCAAATGCTCTCTAGATTAAAATTAATGAATAAAGACACCAGATTTAAATATATAAACTGTAGACTTACCTCAGTTTCTTTAAATCTAAAATTAAGTCCTTCCTGGTACTTCATGATTTGGACTCTGAACTTTTCAACCTTTTCCTTCATCATTTCTATCTAATTTTCCCCTTGCTTAACCACCACAGTAAAGTTCTTGACTTCCTTGATAACCAGTCCAAGTTTATTCACAAGGTCAGTGTACTGCTAATGTGACTTTGCTCTAAACTCCGTTTCATCTTACTCGACTGTCTTCTTGTTTTCCTCAAATTCCCTATGATTAATAGCAATAAGTCTTTTCACATCTTCTTCTGCCTAGTCCAGCCTTGAAATCATTTGCCTTTGCTTAGCTATATCACTGCTGTTCTGATTCTGTACATTCTTTAAAGTGCTTCTATTAAGATGCAAGTATACCATTTCCTTTATCTAATGCATAGTGAACATTCTTGGCTTTTCCATTTCAGTTTTGAAACTCTTATTCTCTTCGTGAGCATACTATTCAAAGTGAGGAGATTCGAGTTTGAGTTCAACTTCTGGCAGCTTAATATACTTTTTCATAGTTTCCTGGCTAAGACTGAAGTGATGAGCGTCTTGCTCCATAAAGCGCTAGAAGATATTGCTGACTTGGTCCTCAATTACTTTAATATTTTCACGAATAGCTTCCAGCTCTTTGTCATGCTGTTAGAATTGCACCTCTGTGTTGACTCGCAGATTCTCTATTCGTTGTGGAAGTTACAACCTCACCTTTTCTTAGTACTCTTAGTCCATGAACTCAATTGTAGACTTCATGTAGCGGTTGAGATTCAGACAAAACTTTGTGATAATACTGGGAATGTTATCCCACTCAGAGAGATCAAAATCTATGGGCACATACTGAAGTGCATCCTCCACAGGGGTCATTTAAAGCTACTTCAAAAACGACTCCTGACTGTCTATTAGAAAGTCTTCCATGGGCTATTATACTTTATAAATTTTAAGTATTAAAATTAAATTCACTCTGCTATTATTTTTGCTCTATGGGGTTTTGGGGTTTTGGGGTTTTGGGGTTTTGGGG